GGCCTTCAACCTGCAGCTCCCTGATTGTTTTCTTCACCGAATACAAAGAGGTATGCATTCTTCCTAGTGGATTTTGGTGAGAGAAAGGAAAGGAAGGTGAGGCATGCAAATTGCAGTTGTGTGAGGCATTGAGAGTACTTCAAATCAGCTTTGGATGAGAAATCCAGATGGGAAAAAGTGCCTGCAACCAAGAATGCCTTATATGATGACCTTAAATTTTTGAGACTGAAATAATAATAATAATAATAATAATAATAATAATAATAATAATAATAATAATAATAATAATAATAATAATAATTTAATAATAAAAAACAATAATATATATATATATAGGGAAAAGTGTATATAAGGTTGCAACCTTAAAATGTAGAACTACGGATGCACCTCAAAAATCCTTCGGTAAATGTTCTTTTAATGTTGGAAAACCCCCTAATTGATCATCTCGACATCAAGATGCATGACAATGAAGAAAAAAAGGATTGAGTCCCAAACATAGTGTATCTTACAACACATAATCTAGACCATCCATTTTCAAGATGTTCATATGTTTATAGATCTACTTGATTTTAATCATTTTTGGAGTTTAAAATTTTATAATTAGATTTGAAAATAGATTTTGAGATAATCTTAAGAATATTTTACATCAAAATTATATGTTATGATAAAATTTGAAGGTGCACCTTAAATGGATTGTTTAAGGTTGCAACTATATGGAAACCACACCCATATATATAACACCTATTTAAAAGAATAGTTTTGAGTGATAGTTCATTGTAATATGAATGCACCATGGGACCACCCCAAATTTTCCTTTTTACGTTTATTTTGAATAGGTGGAAATAATTAAATACAAAATGATGTGTCATTATGAGGTGATAATATATAATGAGGTGACATTATAGGGTGGTGAGGTGTCATGAAGTGGCATTAAGGTGGTGATGTGTCATGAGTTGGAACATATACAAGTGCTAAATAAACAAAAGGTATGACACATATTTGAACATGTGTCATAAGGAGAAGTGTTCTGCATCATTTTTTTATTAACTCTCTCATAATGTTAGAATTATTGACAATTATTTTTTCTCTCTCTCATCATGTTAGTATTATTAACAATTAATCTCTCTCATAATGTTAGTAATATTAACAATTAAATTCTCTCTCATAATGTTAGAATTATTAACAATTATTTTCTCTCTCATAATATTAGTACGATAGTAAGATAATATGTTCATAATAATAGCTTCATTATTTTCATAAAAATAATACTCTCATAAAATTAATATTTTTCTCTCTTCAACAAATTTCATTCACTCTTATAATATTACTATTATAATAAAATAAAATTATTCTTATAATATTTCTCTTTCTTATAAATGAACATATTTTGTTTGCTCCTTCTCCCTATATAAACTCATTTGGTCTCTTTTTTCCATACCTTTAGTTGAACGTCATTAATCCCAATCTTGCTCTGACGACAATAGCCATACCCATCTCGTGACATATAAAAGTAAGTGATCTCATTTTCTTGTAAAATAGTTATATAAACTGGTAACTTCTGCATTTAATTGTAATATTTCCATCTATCATTATGAATTTTAGATACTGTAAATTTTATGAGTAACCTTATTTTCCTATAAAACAATTATTTGAAAATTTGTATTCCTGTCTATGAATTTTAGACGCTATGAGTTTTACGTGTTCTTGTAACATGATTATTTGAAAATTTGTATCTCTGCAGTCAATAAAATTGTAATGTTTCTATCTATTATTAAGAATTATAGATAGTTGAAAATTTAATATTTGACACTAGATTTTCATAAAGAGCTCTTATGTTATTAATAGACTGTCGATCATGTTAAATTTCAAGAATGCCTCTTAGAACTACTACCTTTATGAAATTATTGCCAAAAATGTTTGCAGGTTATTTATAGAAATATCAGTGAAAACGATTGCTATAAAATGCTTCATGTGAATTCATATTAATGATTTCAAGAATATTTTGAATATACCATACCTGATGTTTAAAGAGTTTCAAAGATACTTTTAAGTATACCAGTGGATCTATCTAGTATACCAGTAGGGATTAAGTGGACTCATCCGGTATGTCAGTGAGATATAAGTGGACTTGCAAGGATTAAGTGGACACATCCAAGACGCTGGTGGGGTATATAGGTGACCTACTTGGGACGCCAATATGGTACTTTGTGAAATATTTTGGAATTTGCAATTGTCTGTTAAAAGATTTAAATATGCACTTCCTCATATTATTTCAATATACATATGAAATGTTTTGGATTATGTTTAGAATAGTTCTCCATGTATACTCTTCCTCATATTGTTTCAACACTTCTTTTAGAAAATATTACATTTTCCAACTATGATTTTAAGGACTATGATGATCACTTACTGAGTAGCTAAACTCATCAAACTATTATGAACTCTTCCCAGAGTAATTGCAACCTTACTGTTCGAAGGTACAGCAGGAGTAGCCTAGAAGAAGTTTGAAGTCATGTTAAATTAGACTTTTTTTCCATTCAGAAATATTAAAATTTGTACAAGGTCTATTCACAACTTATATTAACATGAAGGTCTACATATATACAATTTTACTAGAACAAAAATTTACAAAGGCGACAAGAATTTGTAAATTTTTTCTCTCTCATCATGTTAGTATATTAACAATTAACTCCTAAATTTTTTTCTACTGCGTAAAGTTTGAAGCGAGAGAAGAATATTAATTTTATGAGTATTATTTTTATGAAAATAATGAGGCTATTATTATGAACATATTATCTTACTATCATACTAATATTATGAGAGAGGAAATAATTGTTAATAATTCTAACATCAAGAGAGAGAATTTAATTGTTAATATCATTATGAGAGTATTTTTTTTTTCTTTTTTTTTTTTTGATAAAAGTTAACTGTGAGAGAGATTAATTGTTAATAATACTAACATGATGAGAGAGAAAATAATTGTCAATAACTCTAACATTATGAGAGAGTAATTAATTATTAATCATACTTAATATTATGAGATAAAGAGAAAATAATTGTTAATAATTCTAACATTATGAGAGAGAAATTAATTTTTAATAATACTAACATGATGAGAGAAAAAAATAATTGTCAATAATTCCAACATTATGAGAGAGAAATTAATTGTTAATAATACTAACATGAGAGAGAAAAAAATAATTGTCAATAATTCTAACATTATGAGAGAGTAATTAATTGTTAATTACTACTAACATGATGAGAGAGAAAAATAATTGTCAATAATTCTAACATTATGAGAGAGTAATTAATTGTTAATAATACTTAACATTATGAGAAAAAGAGAAAATAAATGTTAATAATTGGAACATTATGAAAGAGAAATTAATTGTTAATAATACTAACATGATGAGAGAGAAAAATAATAATTGTCAATAATTCTAACATTATGAGAGAGTTAATAATAAAAAAAGGTATATTATAAGAGAGAGAAAGAGTTCTTACGTAGAGAGAGATAGATGGAAAAATTTTGATGAGCTTAATGATTCGCTCATGAGAGAGGGCCCTTTTAAACTGAGGGAGAACACTTCTCCTTGTGACACATGTTCAAATATGTCTTACCTTTTGTTTATTTATCACTTGTATATGTGCGTCCTCATGACACATCACCACCCTAATGCCACTTCATGACACCTCACAACCCTATCATGTCACCTCATTACATATTATCACCTCATAATATCACCTCATAATGACACATCATTGTGTATTTAATTATTTTAACTTATTCAAAATAAACGTAAAAAAGAAAATTTAGGGTGGTCCCATGGCGCATTCATATTACAATGAACCATCACTCAAACTTATTCTTTTAAATAGGTGTTTTATTTTTTATTTTTTTATTGTTTTATTATTATTTTTTATTATTATTATTTCAGTCCCAAAAATTTAGGGTCATCACATTATATGCGAACTTTTTAGAACCTAGTAGAAGAAAGGAATTTGTTGTATAGAAGGTGTGCCATCGATCCAAAGAGATTGGATGGGAAGAACAAAGTTCTATAGGTTGACCATAGGCAATCTGATTTGCTTTTGTGATAGAAAAGCTTAACGAGAGAAAAGAAAGAAAATAAGAGAAACAAGTGCATGAAACCTTCCCTTTATCTAACTTGGGGAGTGTATGCCACTCTATTAATTATATATATTTGCATTGTACAATCATGCAATTGAATATAATGACATGGTAAAAAGAAAAATATTAAGTGATTATAGTTATTGCAAGGAAGAAAAACTACATCCCATTAATGAAGAGTTTACAACCCTTTTTTCATAGCATCACTCCAATACTATGGCTGAGCTGCCAGCCTATAAGAGAGAGAGAGAGAGAGAGAGAGAGAGAGAACAAGAATCTAGGAATGAAAAGACATGAATAATGGGGAGTACATCCATGATCATGAAAAAAATAGAAGGCTCACCAAATCAACACACCTTAGATAGGAATGGATTAGATGGATGTAGGAAAGAGAGTGCAAGCTGGACCATCTTTGGCACTAGTTTTATCTCATTTTTAACTACCTCAAGTTTTATACGTTTTTTCTTTATTTCACAAAAATATTATACTTAAAGAAAGATTTTAAAGAAAACATTTATCAAAAAGAAGCAAATTAATAAAACTGCCTAAGAACTTACCAAAAACATTCAAAGTGCCTAAGGATGCTGAATGATTTTACTTCTATGTTTCAAAAGTAACATCATAATGCAACAATAAATTACGAATTGTTTGTGGCTAACAAATTTACAAGAGATGAGAAATCTACATGTTTCAAGGGCAAGTTCTTTATCATAAGATACAATTTTTCCAGCCACGCCTATAATAGTAGGGGAGTCATTTCTTCTAGAACAGGGAATAAATTGGACTTCAGGATGATTCTTAAAATGAAAAATTTCAAATAGTTTTACAAAAATTACCTGCAGCTAACTTTACTGAAGCAAAATAATACCTCCTTTTTTTCTTGCTTCCAGAAGAAGGCAGTCAACTATTGTAGATGAGCTATTGGTTACAGGAAAAACACGGCCATCATCCTCTGTCTAAATGAAGAAATGTCACATACCACAGTCAAACAACCCATCAAAGCACAGATAATGAAACTGAAACAAAAAATGCAACCATAGGACATCTTCAAGTAACCTTGAGCTCTATGCCACGATCAGAAAACCAAGAAATAGTATCTAGCGGGCCATGCATCTTAAAGAAGGACCCCTGTAATTCCTTATTCCCTCGTGGATAATTTTCAGCCAAAACCTGCATTACTTAAATAATTTCAAATTGGGGAAGCAAAATAAGAAATGTGATTCCAGTAACCATGAAATGCTCAAACAAACTCAACGCAAAGCATACCATTGAAAGGCTTTAATATATACCAAAGAAAAGGGTAAGACAGTGAGATTCAAGCAGTAACTACTCACAGAACTCCATATACAAATTATAAAATGTAAACATGTCAACACAGATTGCACTTTATCCATATCAACAACAATGTGAATGTTAATATTAGAAAAAATAGGAGCTTCATTCCACCTTAACAATATCGATGTCCTAGATTAAGAAATGATACAATGTCTTGTAGGACCCACTAAATTTCCAGGGGAAGGAGCATCTCTAACAGAAATCCACTAGAGATTACTAAACTTAGTTTTGAGTAATTTCCTAATGCTACGGATACACGATTTCATGAATCAGATACTGTAGATGCATACATTTGATTCAGGATGCAAAACAATGTATCTCATAAATCACATTTACCTATGTTTAGCCACCTCAACCAGGGATGTTTGATTGGCTAGCACCAACCAGCAACATTGTCATAGGAAGAGTACGTGTGTTAAGCAAGAAAAGAATATTACACAAGGCAAAATCACCTAAACAAATTCTAGCCTTCATAATCATTTGGCAATTAGGTTTGAAAAATACAGTATGAGGACCTAGCAGAAGTAAATTGGAGTAAGTTAGCTATGCATTGAATCAAGAATGACAGTGCATCTTTGCAATTGAATCAAGAATGACACTACGAAAAGCTATACTTTGGCATGCAATCAATTTACTACAAATAATGATTTTCTAGCTAATATGCACCAAAAGCATGTTCCATGATTATTTTTTATGGTAACCACCAAGAACAAACTCGAGAAAAAATCAAGAAGAGAATGATATGATTCTCAAAGTAGATGCAGAAGCAACCTACATGCATAAAGACATCAATATCAACCATTGGCAGACATCAATATGTTTCAACTATCAACTACATATAGAGAGTTGAATACATAACTTATAGGACACTTTAAGGTTTGATGGTCTCGACATCAATTATTTCTCACCATAGTGTCAACACAATGCCCATGCGTCACATTGCATCTCCCTCCCCCAGATATTTTTACCTGCAATAATACATACAATTAGATGAACTTGAATTTACAATAAGCATAAGTTCATAGTAAGCCTAAAGTTCATCATCATTTTCATCCAAGCCTTATCCCAATTACTTGGGGTCGGCTATATGAATCTAGTTCCTCCATTAAATTAGGTTCAGGATTCAAGATAAGATGTAGCAAAGTTTTATGCTGGCTGCTACCTAACGCACCCCACCTCCTTTCTCCAAGCTTGGGATGGGTTAAGGAAAAGTTTAAAGTCCTCACCTCATGGTAAGCCTAAAGTTAAATGACCAATAAGCTAAATTTAGAAAAAAAGAAGCTACAGTAGAGCACATGACAGTCCCAAATAGTCATTTCGGAGTTCAATCCACTATCCCATTAAGTCCCCATAATGCACAAGAAATCTGCAGCAATCACATTCTCATTTGATTATCAATCAATCACTTCCAATTAGAAAAACATATTAAACTCCAACTGATATGGATAAAGTTTGCCTTAATATAAGTTGATCCTTACCATTGAAATGCCTAAGCAAATTGTAAATTGCATTGTAAACTCTCCCAACAATTCCTATTTTTGCTACATCTCTCTCTCTCGATATATATATATATATATACCATTTATCTTTTGTACATGGAGGACACAATCATTCTCACTCGTTAGATGTCAAATTGTATGCCTTGGGGTAAGTCACAAAGTCCAAAAAAATTTTCTTTGGAAGTTTGTGTCTAGCCAATGACACTCTTACATATATATATATATATATATATATAGATAGAGGGTGTGGTTTGTATAGAGCCAAGGCTCTAAACAAACAAAGTAAAGCGCACCCTCAAATAGTGTCGAGAAATGTGGTTTCAATACTGAAAATATTTGTGATAGCCTTAAAATATATTTTCATCTTTAATTATAAAATTTAAAGCTTCAAAAATAGTGTAAATAGAGCAGATTTATGAAAACCTGAAAATCTTGAAAATTAACGGTCCAAAAATGCATCACAAGATGCACTATTTCCAAAACTTGAAATCCATTTTTTCCTCATGTCCATGCATCTTGATATCGAGATGATCAATTTGAGGATATTTGGGCATCAAAACAACTTCTTCTAGTGAAATTTTTGAGGTGGGCTCTAATTTGATTGTTTAAAGCCTCGGCTCTATATAAACTTTTTTCATATATATATATGAAAAACCTAAAAAATGCCTACAGAATTGCTATCTCAATGGTGGTATTTCAAATGGAACTACAAGGGGCGGCGTGTGGTCCGTGGTGGTTTCCACGTGTTTTTTTACCGCGAAAGACATGTTACCGCCACGGATATGCTAGGTTCGTGGCATTCGAAAAATCCATGCTGCCCCGAAAAACAGACGACGAGAGCCTATAAGCGAAATCACTGTAGCATTTTGCCTATAGGTGTTGCATAGTGT